CACTGCACATAACGCGAATCCAACAGCACACCATGTATGCCAAAGCGTCTTTGTAGCCCCGGCTCGTGTGATAAGCAAACTGGTGGGTAATATATGCTCCGTTGGATTCGAAGAAACGGAGCAACACGCTAGCGAAGCAACGCTCGACTACTTTGTCGAGTTGAGAGGTAAGATGAATACCGCGGCAATTCCAAGGATTCGCGCGCACCTTTTCCATGAACAGCGGGCAGAGCTAGTGAAGCTGCCGTGAATCGAACCACTCACCGGTGTAGAAAACCAAGCGTGCAAGCATGGCAATTGGGGTGGCAAGCTGCGAAGCACATTTCTTCAGAACTGGGCGTGGTAATTAGTCCATCGGGACTGGTGCCGCTGTCCTCCCGCAGCCTGCGTAGGATACGTAAAATCGTGCGGAACCGTATGGGCATAAAGTTGGTCGTCGGCGAGGCGCTCGGCACATGTGCGGGAGAGAACAGATTGTCGACCTCGGGTGGAAGCCCGAATTTCTCACTGAACGTATCAGCAAACAGTCCAAACCCATTTTCAGTTGCAGCGGGGGAATACTCACTGACCCCTTCCCAGCACGAAGAAGCAGCGAATCACATAGCACCCGCCATTTCTTGCACGAAAGGCGCATGTCCAGCATGCGCTGCCGATTGCGCTGAACGTACTTGTCGTAATGACGGCGCAGGCCATCCGAGCACTCATCCCGTCGACGTTCAAATTGCGGAGTTCCATATTCTTCGATGTTCCTCCTGATCAGCTCCAAGGACGCTTCGTTGACCCACGGGTGGATCGATTTCTGTGCGATTGTGGTGCAAGTCGATATGCCATTCTGCGCCGTATCCAAAATGAATATTGTGTGTTTCAAACTTCTGGTTTTGCAAGTTTCGTTATGTGTTCTCAGCGCTTCCGGCCTCCAGGACGAACCAGCGCTATCGAAACAATGGGCTGAGGCGAACAATGTCGAAACAGGGGTTGCAGAGCCTCGCCGGTCAGAAGTGCGCAGCTCGTCGATCGGCGGCGCGCCGAGGGGGGGGAGTAAGAGGGGGGGCGGGCCTCCTCGGAAGGCGGTGGGGCTTCTCCAGAGCCCCCTTCGCCTGCTGAGAGTCCAAGAAGACAAACCGATATAAGCATAAACTCTTGCCCCTCCGCGCGGATTTTTCTTGAACCTCGCTGGATCCCTCGGCAGATCCTCCGGCGCCCTCCCTTGCGCACTCCACGCGCCAGGGAGGGGGGTCCAGCGCAGATCCTAGAAATCCGCGCGGAGTGCCACGAGTTTACCCACCGGTCGTTGAAAGCAGGTATTGTTGGATTCCCAGATTACAATCTACTTTCAGCGCCTTCCTACTTCAAGAGTCGAGTGGCTTTCCCTCTTCCCTCCTCTTCAGGAGGCGGGGCGGAAACCCAATCTATTTCCAACGCCTTCCTACTTTATGTTTCTACCTACTTCTTCCGACCGATGGGTATGTTGATTGCATTTTTCCCGATTCCGAGAAGCTGCCTTGCGGCTCCGGAGAAGGCCCGCAGCATTCCTCCGCAGACGGAGGCCTTCCGGGACGACCCGCCCTCTCTCTGCCCTGGAGGGTTTGTCCGAAGGGCTTAGGCGACCCGTCCTCCTCCTCCTCCTCCTCCTCCCCCTCCTCCCCCTCCTCCTCCTCCTCCTCCTCCTCCTCCTCCTCCTCCTCCTCCTCGTCCTTCCTCCTCCTCCTCCTCCTCCTCCTCCTCCTCCTCCCCTCCTCCTCCTCCTCCTCCACAACTGCTCAGTATGAATACTACTCTCCTCCTTCCCCTGATGACGGGTAGGGAGTGTTCGCCCCCCCCCCCCCCCCAGCGTATTGTTCTTGTACACACAGGATTCCCCGGAGTTGGGTTTTCGCTTGCATTTTTTTCTAAATGCTGCTCTCGCTGAAGCGCCGGCCTCATTTCCGGGCCCCGCTCGTTCCGAATCGTGCTCCCGCTGCAGCGCTGGCCTCATTTCCGTGCTTCCGCTCGTTCCGAATCGTGCTACCGCTGCAGCGTTGGCCTCATTTCCGCGCTTCCGCTCGTTCCGAATCGTGCTCCCGCTGCAGCGCTGGCGTCATTTCCCGTGCCATGCCACGGCCTGCAATGCAATGCTCGTCTGCGTTCCGCTGCGCGATGCCATGCCTTCAGCTGAAGCTGTGATATGCAGTGCTTAAGTACCACGTCGTTCTATGCCATGCCACGCTACGCAATGTTCTGATCGGGGCCGCTGTGCGATGCCATGCTTTGCGTTGCAAAGCTTTGTGATGCAAAGCTTCACTACGCCACGCCACGCCACGCCATGCTGTGACATACTACGCTTTGCGGTGCTCTTCTACGCCATGCCACGCCTTGCTCTACACTACATCGCGTACCCTTTCGAGATCATTGCCCTGCTCGGCATCCGACTGTGCGAGAAGAGAGGGGATCTACGCCATGGTAAGGGATGGGAGGGTGGGGATGGCGCGAGCGCACCTAGCTTGTTCTCCCCCTGCTCCTCCTCTCCTCCCCCTCCTCCTCTCCTCCCCCTCCGCCTCGTCCTCCCCTTCCCCCTCCTCCTCCTCCTCCTCCTCCTCCTCCTCCTCCTCCTCCTCCTCCTCCTCCTCCTCCCTCTCCTCCTCCTGTGCCTTGAGGGCACTACTGGCCCCGTTCATTATGTCACGGACCACTTTCCCTTGATTGCTGGTTGGGAGCGGGGTCGGGTTAGTGCGGTGGGCGGGCGGAATTGGGACTTGTGGCTCCGAAGTAAGACCGCTCTTGCTTCACGAGGTGAAGGTTTAGTAACCTTGGAACGGACGGCTTCCCACTTAGACACGGAGGCTGAGGGCCTTACGGCCCACCAGGTTTTCCTCAGGTCTGGAAATCAACTTGCGGACCGCGCGGCCTCAGAGGCCGCGGAGCGTTCCTGGCACCTTTCGGCCCGCACGGTCCCTCGAACGGGTTTTTGGGATGCTCAGACCGCCCTGATTAGAAGGAGAGCGCGTCGCGCCCTGATCGACTCGTCAGCGGCCGACCCGAGGAAGGCCCGCCCTTCTGTGGCGCCTTTGGAGAGAGCGAGGCAGGGTTCGAAGTTGGATCGGGCGCTTCGCGCCTCCCCTCACAAGTTTGTGACCTTCGGCAGCGCGCTTCGTTGCAGGAGTTGCGAGGTGCTGTGTGATAAGAGTCACCTCTTAGAGGTCTCCAAGGCACCATGCATCCCTGCTGTTGGGGTGGACTCTTTCCCCTCTGACGTTGTCGTGGTGGTCCCTGGCCCCGTCGCGGTGTCTGGAGCGGTCTTGCAACCATCCCACAAGCTTGCGTTTTGGGATATGCATTTTCTGTACTTTTGTCAGTTTTGTGGCCGCACGGCTACTTCGGACGGGCGCCATTTGGCGCTTATTTGTAAAGCGCCCTCTCGCAAGGGCATTGAACATCTGGCCAGAATTCGTCGTGGTTTGTACCCGAGTTACGCAGGCTCGTCCAAGGCGAGTGTCCTGCTGCGCCACGCACGGTTTTCTGCCGTGGCCGATCAGCGAGCTCGAGCGCGAGATTCCATGTCGGAGTTAGCTGTGTCTCACGGAGTCGGGGAGGCTTTTCCTGTTTCGGTGGACGAGGCCCCCCTCGTTCCCCCCCCCCTGTCGACCCGAGCAACGATTCCGAGTAAAGGGGGCGCCTTGGGCACATGCGCTCCTGCTTGCTGCTCTCTCCCTCTCTTGCCCTGCCCGCCTCGTTGCACGACGTTGCTTGCCAAAACGTTCCACAACGTTCCTCCCTCTCCTCCTCCTCCCCCTTCCTCCCCCTCCTCCTCCTCCTCCTCCCCCTCCTCCTCCTCCCCCTCCTCCTCCTCCTCCTCCTCTCCTCCTCCTCCTCCTCCTCCTCCTCCTCCTCCTCCTCCTCGGGTCGCCTACGGCCCCGGGGGATGCACCCTGCCCACACACACACACGCCCTGGGCGCGCCGCCGGGGCTCTGCCGTGCGCGCGCCTGCTGCTGGCCCGCCGCCGCCGCCCCTCGCCATCGCCCGCTCCGCGGGCGCCCCGCGGGGTGCCGCGACGCGGGGTGGGTGCGCCGCGACGCGCGGCGTCGGACCTCCGACGTCTCGAGCTTGGCATCGCTCGGACGTGTGCATTTTTCCGTCGGCGAGGGCCATCGAGGACCATCCCTGACCATTTGGCGGAAAAAAAAAAACACGCACGAAGTCGAAAAATACAAGAGGAATGGGCGTCCGAGCGATGGCGAGGGTGTGGGGTGGACCCAGAAGGGGGCCCAGCGACCCTGACCTTCCAGGAGGGCTGAAAAAAGAGCACCAGGACATCGGCATCCTAATTTCCGTCGAGGCTTGAGGCAGTCCAGATAGGTTCATTCGTCTGGAGTGTATTTGTTGGCACTCTGGAAGGTCAGGGGACAAGGGGGTGGTGAAAAACATGTGGTGCAACAAATCTGCGGGGTTGCAATACATTTTGGGGCGGGCAATGCCTTCTGTACCATGCGATCCGATTCCCCGGCGCAACACAGTCGCAATACAATTGCCCCAAATCTATTGTACCACCCCCTTTCAGCAGGACCCCCTCTTGGGTCGCCCAAAATCTTTGTCGAAGCGCGGGCCCTCGGCCACTTCTTTGGGACCGGCTTTCCATCCCGAGTCGTTTGTATGTCGGGGGCGGCAGCGAGGGTGGTGATGACTGCAGTGTTGTTTTTAATACATGCTCCGCGTGCGGATCATGTATTAAAACAAACAATCCCATGTATTACAATTTGCCCTGTAGGGGTGTGTGGATATCATGGCGGGGGGCATGACATCTTCCCCAGGCCTCGTGGCGCCTCCTCTTGTTTCAATGCGTCCCTGGCCCCACCTGGGCCGCGCACGTGCCGCCGGCCATGATTTGCGCCCCCCCTTCTTGGACGCCCCCTCTTGGCCGCCCCCGATTTTGGACTCCCCCTAGACCCGGTAAGGGCCCCGAGAGGTCGAAAACGATGAAAGACCTACGTCTGGTTTTTTCTCGAGACGCCAGATGTCTGGGAGGTCATGGTCACAGTGGATATCAAGCCGGACCGTGTCGACGATTTCCTGGCCGCGATGGAGGTGGATGTCACTAAATCGCGGGACCAGGCCTGGGCCTGATTTGGGCGGGTTTTTGTGTCGGTGCAGGGCTCGCATGGTGCAGGAGGGAGGAGGACGTGCAGCTGGGTGCCGCTGGGCACCCCCCCTGTTCCTCCCGCTTCCCCTTTTCTGCTCTCCACTTCGGGCATCCTCCAATGGACACTCGGCGCATCCCGCCACCCTGTGTGGGTTGTGGGCCGGGCTCCTCTCGACTGTCTCGTGGGGTACCTCGTGGGGGCCTCTCGGTTGCGCCTTTGGGCCTCGTGGGTGGCCACCTGGGGGCCTCTTGGGGACCTCTGGTGGGGCCCTGCTAGAGGCATGTCGCGGCCACCTCTGGCCGTTTGGGGCTCTTGAGGCTCTCTTCAGGGCCTCCCAGGGCCGCCCAGGGGGGTTTGTTGGGCATAACCTCACGTGTAATCTACAGAAGGTTGCCGTACACAAATAACAGACAACGCGCATTCGCGTATTGTGCTCAATTGGCAAATGCACATGATTGGCACATAGGGCAGACGCAATGTACACACGTGCATAATGGACACAACCATCGGGTGCACAAATCATATGCACATGACGGCACACCGAGCAGACACAAGCGATTGGCACACATAACAGGACAGATGGCTACGCGAAACACAGGCACATGGGCAGTCCCCGCAGACATACACTAATGACGGTTACCGCGAACATCCACATCGGGCAGACATGCATCACATACGAAATTCATATCATACAGCAAACGTGCAGAAGGGATATTCACAAGCAACAGGTGCAGCTGATGGCAAGATGAGGGTGGCCTTCCGACGTGCAGCTGCGAGGTGAGGTAGCCACTGGACTATTACGGAGAGCTTGCCGGACGGACCAGGGCAGTTTTAGCTTTCCAGCGTGTCAGGAGGCACCGTGTCGGACCTGCGTGCTTTTGGGGCGCTCCTCCGCGTCTCCGTGCGCCGTTGTCCTCTCGGACCGCTCTGCAGGCTCGCTGCCAACGCTCTGATGCTCTGCAAGGCATCTTGCTTGAACATGCACGTGTCGACGACAACGCTTGTGGTGGGGGGAAATAAAGATTCGCCAAGGCATCGGATCCTGGTTGCATGCGCTTCGACTTGCTGCGGAGCATAGAGGACCCCAACCAGTTTGTATCCGCGTGCTTTCGCATGATCGTGCGGGCTGGGAATCGTGGGCAAGTCGGCCAGGTGGTTGAAGCTATGGTTAGGGGCGAAGGATGGCGGGAACACGGGCAATGGCGAAAGCCATGACCGCTAGGACAGGAGACGAACAGAAGGGATCACCTATGGATGCGACATGTAGGGAGGGAAATGGGGAAGGAGGGAGGGAGGCAGGGAGTGAGAGAGAGAGGGAGCGAGGGGGAATGGAGGCGAGCTGGCCTTCATGCTGCACCTTGATGTCTTGGGCCGCCATTGGTCTGCGCGGCTGGAACCGTCTTGGACAAGCTGCCACGGTGCTACATCACGGAGGGCCTCTCCTTCACGGGATCTATCTGCGAGCGGAGCGAGGGACATTGCAGTCTTCATCCCGGGCCAGTGCCAGGAGTGCAGCGCAGATGGGGTCTGAGCCAGAGCGCTGGATCCTGCAGGATCTGACTGCGCGGGGTTCGGGTCGAGCTGGGCTCAGGACCCGTTCGTGGCCCTGGAGGCGGTCTTCACACGCTGTTTGCGCCAGGGTTAGGGCGGGCGTGCCCCTCTTCAGGAGGAATGCTCAAAAGTAGTCAGAACATAACTTGGGGACGATCTGTTTGACTATGCATGCTTTTTGTTTGGTTCTTTTGGGGAGGCAGTTCCGAATGTTCCTCCAAAATCTGCCTGTAGGGTGGCGCGCCCGACCGAAAGCCGGGGCTGCGCGGCGCGGCAGCCGGGCGGGCTCGCGCCCGAGCGGCGGGCTCCTGGAGGTGCCGGGGGCCTCTGGGAGCGAGGGCTCGCCGGAGTCTGCTTGCCAGCCGAGCGGTCCAGGCAGCGCCTCACTGGAATGAGGTCGGGCACGTACTCCAGATTTCGTAATAAAAGGGAGGGGGTCTGGACCCTCCAAGACAAGCCATTTCAGACCTCCCCCGTGGGAGAACCCTCCAAAACATCGTCCCCAGACCCCCCAGGCCCTCCAAGATAGCTTGGAAGAGACCCCCCTCCGAAATGAGACCCCCCTCCCTTTATTACGAGATCTGGAGTACCCCTAGAGGCAGATTCTGGACGGAAGCGTTCAAAACAGGACGGTTCGTCGGATTCTGCTCGCCAGCCGAACGGTCCTGATGGGTTTGCTTTCCACCACCACCACCACCATAGGTTGGAGGGGGGAGGAGGTGGAGGACGAAGAGGAGGAGGAGGACGAACAGGAGGAGGTGGAGGACGAAGAGGAGGAGGAGGAGGAGGAGGAGGAGGAGAATGACGGGGAGGAGGAGGAGGAGGAGGAGGAGGAGGAGGAGGAGGACCCCCTCCCCCTCCAATTTGTGGTGGTGGTGGTGGAAAACAGGCCCATCAGGTCCAGGCAACGCCTCACTAGAATTATGATGTTCAAACCTACTTTAGCCTTGACCGCCAGAAAGAATTCTGAGCACCAGAAACGTACCGAAACGCGAGGGTTTGCATGTGTCGAGCCCTGGGAGACACTCGTCCGACATTGTTTCGACATTGGTTCGGCACTGTTTCGACACTTTTCTGGGTACTCGACATTATTTCTGGGATGTGGTCTTTACGTACGATGGGGGCAACATAACACTAGAAGCATCGTCGACGCTGGTTCCACGACAGGTCTTAGGGTACAGGGATAGGCGACCCGTCCTCCTCCTCCCCCTCCTCCTCCTCCTCCTCCTCCTCCCTCCTCCTCCTCCTCTCCTCCTCCTCCTCCTCCTCCTCCTCCTCCTCCTCCTCCTCCTCCTCCTCCTCCTCCCCCTCCTCCCCCTCCTCCCCCTCCCCCCCCCCCCCCCTCCTCCCTCCTCCCTCCTCCTCTTCCTCCTCCTCCTCCTCCTCCTCCTCCTCCCTCCTCCTCCTCCTCCTCCTCCTCCTCCTCCTCCTCCTCCTCCTCCTCCTCCTCCTCCTCCTCCTCCTCCTCCTCCTCCTCCTCCTCCTCCTCCTCCTCCTCCTCCTCCTCCTCCTCCTCCTCTCCTCCTCCTCCTCCTCCTCCTCCTCCTCCTCCTCCTCCTCCTCCTCCTCCTCCTCCTCCTCCTCCTCCTCCTCCTCCTTCGTCCCCCTCCCCTTCTTCCTTTCCCATGCTCGGGTCACAAGAGCCCCGAGGACCGCAGCGATGGCACCCTGTCCGTGGGAGTATCTCCAAGGTCTGTGGCTGCGGGGCTGGGAGCCTCTGCGCGTGGGACCCTCTGCTGCCCACAGCCCGCTGGCGGGTGCCCTACGTGCGAGCAGAGCTCAGGAAGGGGAACAGCACACGGAAAATATGGGAACACATGGGAACATATGGGAACATCTGGGAACACCTGGGAACACATGGGAACAACTGGGAACATATGGGAACATATGGGAACACATGGGAACACATGGGAACATATGGGAACATATGGGAACACATGGGAACACATGGGAACGTATGGGAAGTGAGGGGGAAGACGAAAACCCGGAGAGCATGGGAAAATATGGGGGATCCTGGGGTTTGTGTGTATTTGTTTGTGTCTCCCTGGGCCCCTTCGAGAGCCGCGGCGAGGCCTCCGGCGGGCGCGGCCAGGACGCGTTGGCTGGCAGGCTGCCGGTGGGCGCGGCCGGTGGGCGCGCCTCGGTCGGGGCTCCAGGTACGTCAAGCAGTGGCGAGGCGTCCCGGCTCGCCTAGAGGCCCACCAAATAATGTTCTAAGAACCTTTTGTGGTTTGCACGGAAGGCTCTAAGAACATTGCTGGCTGAGTCTGTCCTGTTGCTGCATCTGCTACATCGGGTTCATGTTCTAAGAACATGGCTTCAGTTCTTAGAACATTTGTTGGGTTCTAAGATCATGTCGTGGTAGGCCTGTAGGAATGCTGGGATCTTCGGTCCCTGCTCAAGTATGGGGGGGCAGTGCAAGCGGGGGTCAGTCATAGCGCCGGGTCTTGCAGGATCCTGCAGAGCCAGGGTCGCACTGTTCCGGGTTTGGGCGCAGGATCTTGCGGGATTTTGCGGGATCCTGCAAGGCCCGATTGACCCGGGTCGGGGTTGACCCGGGGCAGTGAATCCCCGAGCGCCAAGTGGACAGGGACAGGGCATCGGCTCGAGGATCCTGTCGCCCTTCGTCTGCTTATGGGGTCAGCCTTTTTTTTGGGGGGGGGGTGAGGTGAAGGTGTGCTCAGCTCCTTAATTTTGTTTATTGTGCTTGAGGCCGTGTCCAGTTCAAAGAACAGGTATTAATTGTGTTTTGTTGGAACTTGCATGGGAACTGATTCGCCCGAACCAGTGCTTTTCTCCGACGTGTTTTTGTTAATTAGTTTGTCCTTGTGCCTCTGACCCTCAGAAGTCTTGGCCCCACTTGCGGGCGAACGAGTCGGGATATGGTGGGTGCGGTATCACATGATGGGAGCCTTCTATGCCCTCGCCACCGTCGAGTAACGTCTAGTAATCGATTATTAGAGTAACGTCGAGTAACCGTCGAGTAACGCCACCGTCGAGTATTTAGAGCGCGGTAGCGTCGAGTAGCGTTTAGTAATCGATGGGACAGCGCCGATTCGCAAGAGCCAACAAGATGGCATGGGAAGCTCCCATGAGTTGCCGCAGACCATGGGCGCGGAGGCGAGCTGGGCAAGTGAGACCCGCTCGGTGCGAGCTGTGCGCTGGGGGAAACATCTGCGACGGCTTGCGAATCCTACCCGAGCGGGTCCGATCGATTCTGGGGCACATCATACACGTAAACTGAAACCACTCCGCGCGGATTTCTTGGATCCGCGTTGGGCCCCCTGGCGGCGCCTCCGGCGCCACCCCCGGCGCGTTCCGCGCGCCAGGGAGGGGGGTCAGCGCAGATCCAAGAAATCCGCGCTGAGCGCCAAAAGTTTATCTTGGTTCCGTTTTTTCTTTTAGTGATGGGCCTGCCGATTTGTTTTCTTTTTGTTCGGCTCTTTTGCTGTTGGGCTCTCGCGCGGTTCTCCGCGCGCGGGCTGGACTGTGAGGATGTGTTCCCGTCCGCGACGACCACAGAGTGTGTGCATGTGCGTGTGTGCATGAGACTGTTTTCGTATCCCTTGGCGATAGCGGGCGTGACCGGGGAGGGCGGGGGAACAGGGGGCCCGTCATGCCACGATTCGCGATGGCGCCGCCTGGGAGTCCTTCAAAAGATGTAATTCCCAGACGGCAGCGGCGCGAATCGTGACGTGACCAGGGGGATGGGAGGGGGGGCGGCGGGACCAGTCATGGGCTTTATCTCGAATGGTTTGTGTGCGTGTGTGCGTGTGTTTGTGTGTGTGTGTGTGCGTGTGCGTGTGCGTGTGCGTGTGCGTGTGCGTGTGCGTGTGCGTGTGCGTGTGCGCGTGCGCGTGCGCGTGCGCGTGCGCGTGCGTGCGTGCTTGCGTGCGTGCCTGCGTGCGTGTGTGCGTGTATGTGTGCGTGTATGTGTGCGTGTGTGCGTGTGTGTGATCCAGCGTCTCCCCTCCGCGTGAGCCTGGCCAGCGCGCGCGCTTCTCAGAGACTTTATACGCCTCGCCGCCGCGCGAGTGGCCGCGACGCAAAACAAGTGCGCGCGTGTGTGCTTCGTGTGTGTGTGTGTGGTTGTAGGAGTGTGCGTGGCTGTGTGTGTGTGTGTGCGTGTGAGTCTGTGTATGCTAGTGTTAGTGGTAGTGACAGTGTTACTGTTACTGTTTTTCTTACTCGTGTTAGTGCCAGTGTTAGTGTCAGTGTTAGTGTTCGTGTTCGTGCGTTTGTGTTTGTTTGTGTGTGTGGAGGAGTGTGGCTGACCCGCTGGCAGAGCCCACGGACACGGGCGCGAATGATTCTACGAGGCGTACTTGGACGACGGCGCGTCTGCCCACCACAAGAGCACTGCGCATTACAAGGATCTCTCTCTCTCTCTCTCTCTCCCTCATATTTCTTTCTCTTGAGATGCCTACATCGTGTTTCCTCCGCCCACTCCATCATCTATCTCTTGGTCCCAGTCTCCATATTTGCCTTTTCCTGCTGGTGCCTCTATCTATTGTAGGCCTGCTGGCCAGCTCCGCCGACCCTCACAGAAAGTCAGCCAGTAAGCAACAAACCAGAGAAGGCAGGCGAGGAACGGCCGACAGGATGAGCGTGACATGGGGCAAGGGCGCAGCAGAAAGAGCAGGGACCGTATGTTAAGGAGACAGCGGAACGTAGACGGGCAGCATGGGTGCAGAAAGGTGCAGTCTCGGGAGAGCAATGGCTTTCTATGCTTGGGAGGAAGGCCTTCCCTAGTTTTCGTTCTGAAGAGGAACAGGCAGACTCTCTACCCCTCCCCTGAAAAAAAGGCCCGACGTAGCCCCGCACCTTGTCGCCTTGTGCGTTTGTTTATGGATGTGCTGTGGAAGATTCCCTGACCATATTGTGTGTAAGGGTCCGATCCATCTCTTCCCAGTCACGCGTGGTATTCCCCATATCCAGAATCGTTGGGTCGTGGCCCGCGGTCTTTTCTCGTATGGTCTCACGTGTGTTCTTCCGCATGCTCTCCCGCATGGTCTTCCGCGTCGTCTCCCGTGGGGTCCCCGTCTGGCCTCCCCTGTGGCCAGCAGTAGAGAAGGAGGGAAAAGGGGAGAGCGAGGGGGGGAGCCGAGGGAGGGGGAGGGGGAGGCGAGGCAAGGAGGGGGGCGTAAGTGGGGGGGGGGGCGGGAGGTGGCGGGAACGAGAGGCTGGATGGCGTGAGGCGGAGGCGTCGGCGTCGGCGTCGGCGTCGGCGGCGTCGGCGTCGTCGGTGTCGGCGTCGGCGTCGCCGTCGGCGTCGCCGTCGTCGGCGGCGTCGGCGTTGGCGTCGGCGTCGGCGTCGGCGTGCCTCCCCGCGGAGGCGTGGGCGGACTTCAAGGCCAGCGGCGGCGTGGCGGGCCAGAGCGCGCGGGCCCCAGGGGGCCCCGCGCGCCGCGCGCTCCACAACGGGGCCCGCGCCTCGGCCGCGGCCGGGGAGAGCTGGGGCCGCGAAGGTCCACGGAGGTGTCCACGGATCGGCGGCGAGCGAGGGAGGGGGAGGGGGGAGGGGGAGGGGGAGGGGGAGGAGGAGGAGGAGGAGGAGGAGGAGGAGGAGGAGGAGGAGGAGGAGGAGGAGACGGAGGAGGAGGAGGAGGAGGAGGAGGGAAGAGGAGGAGGAGGAGAGGAGGAGGAGGAGGAGGAAGAGGAGGAGGAAGGAGGAGGAGGGAGGAGGAGGAGAGGAGGAAGGAGGAGGAAGGAAGACCCGATCGCTTGCCCACCCTTCTGAGAAGCTCTCTGTGTCCTCTGGCAAGACTTTAGAGAACTTCTCAGAAGGCCGGGGAACTTCCCAGCCTTCTGATTCTGAGATCGGGGCTCAAGAGACAGGGGTCAACCAGAGCACCAGAGCTTGCGGGATCCTGCAGAGCCAAGGGTGCACTTGCCCGGGCTGGCGTGCTTGATCTTGCAGGGCCTTGCAGGATCTTGCGGGATCCTGCAAGGCCGCAGTGACCCCGGGTTCGCATTCACCCGGGTCAGTGCGTTCCCCGTGAGCCGTCTGTTGGCGGCGAGCCCCCTCGTCGAGACGGCGGGGTGCTCTCTCTGAAGGCCACCCCCTTCGTTGCACTCCTTTTCTGCGCGCCGCCCCCTCCCCCCCCCACACAGCGACGTCTTGATTCTTGCCAATGCGGGGTCACCGGAAGTCTCGGGCGGCAATGCCCGTGCCTCCCCCTGCCCAAGGTGCGGAAGCTCGAGACCAGGAGCATTCCGGGGCAGTGGGCCTTCCAGGGCGGTTCGCCCACCGTTCCGACCGTGGAGGCGCCTCCTCTTTCGTTCGATGTTCTCGTCTCGGCCATGCGTAGGAGTGGTCCTTCGCCGCAGTGACCTTGGGTGCGGGCCCACGGGGGTCCCCCCGGCAGTGGCCTGCGCTCGTGGATCTGCCCCCCCCCCCGCGGCCCTCCTACAGTCGCGCGCCACAGGTCACTGTTGCCTACGGTAAAGCTTATGTGTAGGCGACGTTCGCAGAGCCACAGTTGGCATCAGTGTCGAGGGTAACGACCGAGTGCGCTAGACGCCAGGCCCATGCATACGGCGCTGGCATCAAGCATCCTCCTGGCAAGGCAGAAGCATGAGAGCGGCCATCTTTTTCGAGAATATGGACGCACGGGTATCTACAACTAGACTTCGCGGACCTGGAGCTTTGTTGGGGCTATCTAGGCGTCAGTCGGAGCCTTGGGGCCAGCTCGGTTTCCGTTTGGAGGTCCTTTGGCAGCTCTTGAAGGTCATGGGCCCGTCTGGGAGAGTCTTGGGGCCGTCTGGAAGCGGTCTGGAACTGTATCGGAGCTGGCTCAGTGCCGTCTCCAATTCGACTGCATTATGTATATGTGTATATATAATATACACAGGCCAGAGGCCTCTGGGAAGCTTGTGGGAATCTCTTGGGAGGCCTCTCGGAAGCCTCTCGGATTCGGTTTTGGGGTGTCTTGGGGGCCTCTCGGGGGTCTCTTGGGGGAGATACGGTTTTACTGCGGACAGATGGGCTTTTGTGCGGCCCGGTGGGCTTTAGTACGGCCAAGAGGTCTCCGGAGTATACAAATCCTCGAGTACGGTGAGGGCCCCCCTGAAGGGCTTCTTGGCCCTCCTGAAGGGCTTCTTGGCCCCCCTGAAGGGCCGGCGCCGGCCGCAGTAAAACCCACTTTGCCGCGCGCCGGGCCACAGAAGAACCCAACGGGCCGCACAAAAAACCATCGGGCCGCACAAACAACCATTCGCCTCCTGGGGGCCTCCCTCTTTGGGCCTGATTTGGGCCTCTTGGGAGCCTCCTGCAGCTCGTGTGTGGGTTGGGGTCTCATGGGGGCCTGCTGGCCTTCTTGCGGTCTCGGGGGCCATCTTGGGACGAAGGGTTTGAAAATATCAGTTCGAGTTCCCCCTCGTGAGCCTCTCGTGGGCCCCCCTTTGGGCCCTACCAGACTGCCTTGGGGGCCTCGTGGGCCGTCTTGCGGCCACCTTGGGCCCTCTGGAGGCACACTCGGGGGCCTCTTGGGGCGATCTCTGGGGCCTCTTGGGCCGTCTTGGAGCACCGAAGGTCCGAAAAGACAAGAGTGCTACAACTTTTTCAACCACCCAAGGAGAGAATGATTTTGGCATCTCGTGGTCGTCTTGGAGCCCTCTTGGGGCGCCTTGGGGGCCTCTTGGGCCGTCTGTGGGCCATCTTGGGCGTCTTGGAGCGCTGCTGGGCCGTCTTCGAGGCCCCTTGCGTCCTCTTGGGCGCGTCTTGGGGTCCTATGGGCTTGTTTTGGAGCCCTCAAGCCTGTGGAAACGTCATGCGGGGAAGCCCGAGAAAGCGTGGGCACGCCAGGAATAATCAAGATTTAGGGCACGCCCTTAGGTATAAGATTCCGTGCTCAATACTGGATACTGGGAGTTCTAGACATTTGGGGGCACTCCACTTCGTGCCTCGAGTCAGGGTGAAGTATAATTATATATACACATATTTTTGTACATCCATGCAGGCATAATATTGAACATAGATGCACATAGCAGTGAAGTGACTTGCCTTTGGTACGCACAGAGGGTTCGGACATTGAGTACTTGGTTGCAGATGGGTAGTTCACAAGCCCCAGGTACAATCATGCTCGATAGCGCTTTACGAGGCCGATTTCGCCCAGACCTCCTGGCATTCATTGCTGCAAACCTTTTTGTTCATTGCGGACTGTCGCGCGTTCGTTTCATCGAATGTCGCAGGTAGGATGTTGAATCGTCGATGCTCTCGCATGCGCGTGGAAGCAGCGGGTCCCAGGGTCAGCTGCGACGCGCCTCGTGTGAAGAGGTCTTCTCCGATTAAGTCAGACCTAGCCTCCCCTCCCTGGCTGCCCTCCCATTATCCAGTCTCCCTGTCTCCCCGATCCGTCGCCAGTTTGCCTGGCCCTCTGCGGCAGATCTCCCTCCGTCTCCCTCCTGTCGCCGTGCGCTTCTCTCCCCCTCTGCCTTTTGCCTCCCTATGGTCCTCTCCTCCTCCTCCTTCTCCTTCCTCCTCCTCCTTCTCATCCTCCTCTTCCTCCTCCTCCTTTTACTTCTCCTCCTCCTCCTCCTCCTCCTCCTCCTCCTCCTCCTCCTCCTCCTCCCCCTCTCTCCCGTCTCAGACCTGCCTCTGTGGAGGCAGGCCAATCCAGCATCCAGCATCCCCACCTCCCCTCCCTCTCCCCTCCTCCCCATCCCCCGTCCAGCGGGAGGAGGGAGCGGAGGAGGAGGAACATGTGCTGGAGGGGGATAAGGAGGAGGAGGAGGAGGAGGCGGAAGAGGAGGAGGAGGAGGAGGAGGAGGAGGAGGAGGAGGACGAGGCGGAGGGACGAGGCCGCGTTGGAGGAGGAGTTGGACTTTGAGTTCAAGTTGGAGGAGGAGGAGGAGGAGGCGAGAGGATGTGGAGGATGAGGCGAGGGGAGGTGGAGGAGGATGCGAGAGGATGAGGAGGAGACCGCGGAGCCTGAGCGCGACCGACCCGAGGGAAGCGCGGACCTAGAATGGAGGTTCGACCCAAGGCCGAACAGACCCGCTGGGTTGTGGCATAAAGCAACGCAGTGGCGGGAAGTACAGGTCTGGAGGGGACCATCTACAAATTTTGCAGCAGTTGCCGATGCCAGGCGGCATGGCCCAGCAACTCGACAGCCCCCCCCCCCGAAAGATTCGTGAAGGCCCCGCGCACGATGCAGGCGCACGCGCGCAGGGAAACGTTGGACCCGAGTCACGCCAGGACGACGAGGCCGATCCACCCCTGGTGTAAGAAGCTAAGAAGCGCCCGGGCGGCGCCTCGACCACGCCCCAGGCGTGGACCACACCAGCACCGAAACACGGATGGCAGGCATCACATGCGGGATGAAACCGTGCGGAGCATGGTGAGTGGAAGAACACCCTCGATCTTTTTCTTGAGCGGTAGTCCCTCGGCCCCTTGAGCCACGGCCTTTTGGGACCCGACAAGAAGGAATCACGCACGCCTCCCCCCTGAAGCGGGGTGCCTGACACACGTACACGCGCGGCGCGCGCACCCCCCCCCCCACATACACACACACACGCACACACACGCACGCACGCACGCACGCACGCGCACGCGCACGCGCACGCGCACGCGCACGCGCACGCGCACGCACACGCACACGCACACGCACACGCACACGCACACGCATCCCCACGCACGCACACACACACACACACACACAC